CAATTATGCTGAGTCAGGCTTGATTTTTAATAATCTTTTCCTGTTGAATAAATAAATCAAATCAAATCAATTATTTAAATATGTAATTATGCAGCTGTTAATTTGCAGACAAGTCTTCTATTTTTCAGACAACCAGGAGTTTTACCAGCTGCAGACACAGACTGAGTCTTCCTCTGCTGGCTGTTTGATGTCACCTTTGAAAAACCAAACAATCCTCACAACTAAACCCACATTTATCCATTTGTCTTTGAAGTTTAGAGATTCCTCCTGAAGGACACAGAAGATTTAAATAGACGTTTTCTTCAGATTGAATTGAATCTTGTCCAAACCGGGTCCAGTGGACCGGAACATGTTGTGCTGACTCTGTAGAAGCATCCTCAGCTCCTGCTGTAAATCTGTTGACAGATGCTTCCTCTGACGGGTCGGTACCGCAGAACAGAACCCAAGGCTGCGCCGGATGTTTTACAAGATGCACTACAGATTTTTTTTTCTGCTGACGGTGAACAGAACCTGGATCAGCAGTTCTGTGTGCTTCAACAGAACAGGCTTTCTGACCGTTTCCTCTGTTGTCTGAACAGGGGGAGAGAGGTGACCACGGACCACCTGGGAAGGGCGAGCGAGGAGACATCGGACCTGTTGGGCCAAAGGTCGGCAGCTTAAACACATGAGCTTTTTCGGAATTGAAAACATCTTTTTTTGTTGTTGTTTGCTGCCATCTAGAGTTTTTTTTACTTAAAATCATTTCATGGAGCTCCTATAAGGTTGATTTATTTTAATTATCAAAGCAGAAATGTTAAAGGAAAATGTTTGTTTCCTGAATAACCTTGCAAATTGTGTAGTTTATCTTAAATTTTCTGTAAAATGTTATAAGTTGCTTAATATTTATTTTGTTGCTTTTTTGTCATCTTGTTTCTTCTCTCTTGCAGGGCCAAAATATGAGATTTAAAAATTGTTTTTCAGTTACAAGGATAATTATGAGAAAAAAGTTGTAATTTTACATGAAGTCTATTTTCCAGCTGGCTCACCCCTGCTGTGGACAGCTGTGTTTATAAAGTAATGTGATTACTTTTAGGTCACTGTTAGTAAAATATCCTTCCATCCACATTATGTGATGACCAAATCCGTCCATTGGACATTTGTTTCAAAGTCCTGCTGCTGATCTTTTTTTTAGATTATATATTTTATATAAAAAAAAAACCTATACAGTAAAATAAAAATAGAAAGTAAATCGTGCCGTGAATAAAAGGGGTGCAGAGTGAAGAAAAGATCTTATTTTATCTGCCCCCTTATTGTCAAAGAAGCAACCTCAAAAACAAACTCAAGCTTCAATAATCTCCATATGTACAAAAATAAAACACTGAAAAGTACTATGATGGTTAAATGTAAAGTAAGTAAGTAAAGTAAAGTTTTATTTATATAGCAACTTTGATAGAAATAGGAACTCTCTGTGCATTGCTGCCCAAATCAAATTCTGGAAGTGGTCATTCAACTAGATCTGTTACAAAAGGACAACTGATATTACCAACTTTTAAAAACTGTTAYRGYCAGAGGKCTTTCTTYTATGTTTATACTAAAGCATGGAATGACATTCCTCAAAACATAAAGTCCATTTCAAAACTACAGCCCTTTAAGAAGAATCTTGTCTGCCATCTGCTGGACACTTTTTTGTTGTGCTCATATTTAGACATCAAGGTGCTGTACAATCAGAGGGAAATCAAAAGAAATACAATCTCAACATGATTTACAAAAATTTGGAGTAAAGTATAAAAGCTGTACATCCATCAAAGTATCAAGACTGCAATCCGAAAAATAAAACAAGTAAATAACATCTAGACAAAAATGGGGAGGGCAGAGTAAAACAATAACATATTAAGATGAAAGATTTTTAAATCACAAATTAATTTGGAGGCAGGTCTCTGAATGGGTAGATTGTGCAGTACAGGTACATTTTAGAAAAATACATTTTTGATAAATAGAAATGATTTTGGATGAAAATACTGGCTGTTTGACATAYATTAACATGATGAATTGTACGGTCGGTAGGTAGGGTTTGGTGAAACAGACACTAAAAGGTCAGGCTGCAGAAAAATGCTGAAATTGGTTAGTTAAAMGCTTGTTAAAAGAGGTGTGTTTTCAGATATTTCTTGAATGAATCAATGCTTTCAAGCATGCGCAGATGGATAGGAAGTTCAGGAGAAGGCTCGGTCACCACGGGTCTTGAGACGTGTGTGGGGAACCATTAGGAGATGTTGATCCTGTGAGCGTATCAGTGTTTGGGGTTGTAAGGGGAGATGAGACTGTTAATGTAGTCAGGTGACTGGCCATTGAGAGCTCTGAAAGTGAGGACCAGGATTTTAAACTTGATTTGAAAATGAACAGGGAGCCAGTGAAGCTCTGAAAGGATCGGGGAGATGTGTGAGAATTTTAAAGTTCGGGTTAAGAGTCTTGCTGCAGAGTTTTGTACGAGCTGAAGGCGATTTATCTGTTTCTGGTTCAGACAGGTGAACAGGCTATTACAATAATCTATGTGGGTTGAGATGCATGCATGAATTACTAGTTCCAGGTCAGAAAAGGACAACAGGGGCCGCAGCTTCGAAATATTGCGAAGTTGGAAGTAGCAGGTGGAGACCAGATTATTTACGTTTGTCAAGAGACAGTCCTGAATCAAAACAAACACCTAGGTTGTGCWCATGTTTTCGGGCGGTTGAACTTAAAGAGTCGAGATGGTCTTTTATCTCCTGGTGTTTGATGTCGGGGGCCAGGATCAAGGTCTCTGTTTTATTGAGGTTAAGGAGTAACAAGTTGTCTGACAGCCATCCAGTTATTTTAGAGACACAGTTTAAGAGGGAGGTTAGCTTGTAGAAAGTCGAGTCAGTAAAAGAGCAGTATAACTGCAGGTCGTCAGCGTAGAAATGGTAAGAGAGGGAAAATGTCAGGGAAATCTTTGATCTGAGCCAGGGGGCGGATGTATTGAAGGAAAAGAATTGGGCCCAAAATGGAACCCTGTGGTACTCCGCAGGTGAGTGGTGCTGAGTCAGAGAAAGACTGACCTAGTTTGACTGAGAAAGAGCGATCACAGGAATACTATTAAAAATGAAGGTAACAGAGTTTTACTCACTAAAAAACTGTGGTAAGTAGCAGCCATGTTGAATTCTGAATTTTCCTACTTTCTGACAGAATTCCCACTGGACTGTTTTAATTTAAATTCACAACTTGTAAGTGGGAAATTCCCACTTCACAGTACAACTAGACTTCAGCAAAAGTACCTGGCAAAAACGCAACCAAAGTAAAGCATCATGCGCTTATTTTGAAGACATTAATACATCTTTGAAGCTCTCGGGCCATATAAAAATGCTGTGGAGGGCCACATTTGGCACATGGGCCTTGAGTTTGACGTGTGTGTTGAAGAAGTTAGACGTTTTCCCTTGTGCTTTAACATAATAAATGAATTCATTCTCATATTACTTCAACATTATTCTCAGATTATTACAACATTATTCTCAGATTATTACAACATTATTCTCAGATTATTACAACATTATTCTCAGATTATTACAACATTATTCTCAGATTATTACAACTTTATACTCAGATTATTACGACTGTATTCTGATAATATTACGATTTTATTCTCATAATAAAACATGTGATAATATGACCTCAATACTCCAGTTTTATGAATAAATCAGAGAAGCAGACACTTCCTGCATCAACCGTCACCCTCAAAATATTTTAAATTCCATTAAAAACAGCTGAAAAACCTGCAGAATGAGATAATACACAGTAAACTGAATAATTAGGTCATTTATTCTGTTTGTTTCTTTCACATAAAAC